GTCCAGTTATCAGGGAGCTAAGAAGGCGGAGGGCGCGGTGGCGTTTTCATTAGGGAGTGTCACTGCAGAACGTCAGAAGCAATTGGTGAATGAGAGAGTCCCGCAAGGGTCGGCTCTGGAGGCAGCAAGTCCATTAGCTTCTATTAGGGAGTTTTCATCTTGTGGAGGAGGCTGAATTATTCACGAGCGCCTCTCCCCTAAAAGCTCAGGAAGCGCAGTGCCTCGCTGCCGCCTGGCAATGCCGCTGCCTGGCAGGACGGCTGGGGCAGCATGAGGTGGGGCCAGCCCCCTCCCCTGGTCTCCCCTTTGTTGCCTTTGCTGACTTTGTGTCAGGGGCATGGATCTTCTGAGCCACAGGCAGCGGAGAGCTGGCTGTGCTGTTTCATTATTGAACGCCAGGCACGTGGCTCATGACTTCTGCTCCACCCCACTCTAGTTGTGTCTGCAGTGGCACCTGTTGCGTGGGATCATTGTCACAGAGGTGTCTACCCGTCCACCGGGGGCCACTCTATGTGGTTATGTGTATGCATAGCTGCCTGTGCCTGGAAAATTCTAGAAATCTATTTGGGCACACAATGCTGGCCCCCGCCAGTAGGCTTCCTTCATAGCACATCTCCTGGCCGGAGCTTCAGATAAAGCTTTGAGACTGTTCCCTGTGAGGCCCAGAACCAGGCTGAGGCCCAGGGCTGTGACCCCTTGAGAGCCTTGGATGCCTAGAAAGTGTCAGCGTGACACTACTGTCCCAGAAGACATGCCAATCAATGCCTGTGGAGGAACAGGACAGGCAACTGGTGTCCCGGACTCAGCCCAAGGCTCAGGACTCAGCTGGGCGATTTCCCCCAAAGGCCAAGCCTGTGGCTGTGCTGTCTCCAAGGGGTTATTTCTCGCAAGTGATGATGAGAGTGGTGGGGTTTTGGGAGGTGGAGCCTCAGGGAAAGTCTTTAGGTCACTGTGGACCAAGATGTAAGCTCTCAGTCATTTCCTGTCACCAAGCCTTTGCCCTGCCCTTATGGACTATCTGAAACCCTAACCCAAATTAAACATTTTCTTTTATAAGTTGCCCTGGTCATGCTGTTTCATTACAGCAACAGAAAAGTAAGTAAGACAGTTTTGCTCCAGGTACACTGCTACAGTAACAAAAGTATGAACTGTTTACTGTGAGAACTTTTTATCCTAGCCTCACCAACTGGGAAAGGGAACCACACCCCTCCTTGGAGCAAAACAGTTCTCCAGATGGTTACCATGACAGCTTTGTTCCTAGACATACCCAAGTACAGAGAATGGATGCATTCGTCAGTCCTTTGTGCCTCTGCGGACTTTCAGTGTGTAATGGCTAATCTGCACCATCTACTTGACTGGGTTAAGAAACACGCCTGGTGCATTAGAGAACTCCATCTTTGGGCATGTCAGGCACATGTGAGGGCCTTTATCCACCATGGAGGTAGACGGCACCATCCCATAGGCTGAGGTCTGAGCCTGAAAACTGCAGCTGGGCCCTGGCATTCCCCACTCTGCTTCCTGATCCATCCAGATGTGAGGAAGCAGCCTCACCCTCCTGCTGCCAAGGTTGATGCCACTTCCACCACATGTGCCATCTGCCATGACGAACCCAATGCCCAGATCATTGGCCAGAAGAACCACCTCTCCCTCCTTCCCTCAAGGCTTCTTGGCAGGTATTTGGTAAAAGCATGGAGAAAAGCAACTAATTCACTGTGGCTTTGTGGCACCTCCTACGAGTGTGTGTGTGTGTGTGTGTGTGTGTGTGTGTGTGTGTGTGTGAACATTTTCCTGCCCTTAGGCCTCTCCAAGTTCAGGCAGGAGTCTTGCTTGCTCTGGGCTTAGAAACCTGAGCAGAAACTGCAGTGTTTGCTGTAGTCTAGCCTCATGCCTGAGGAGATTGGGCACTTCCTCATGGAAGTAGGCCCTAGCTAGATGGGCAGGAGGATGGCAGACATGTGGGCCCATGGAGACAAAACAGGGCCCCACACATCCCTGAGAAGCTGACACTAGCCGACCCAGACAGATAAGCAAGATGTCAACCCGCCCCCAGGTGACACCAGGCTTGGCGCTGTGTGTCAGGATTTCACTCCCTTGGTGATCTGGGGGTTGCTCAGCCGGTAACTCTGCCAACTCTGCCACAAACACTTCTGCCATCAAAGGGCCAGTGTTAGGTAACGTCAAGGAGGTCTATGGTGGTCACGCTTAGTGCCGTAGTGAGCGGCACCTAGTGTGTTCCAGGAAGGAAGAGCCAGGCCTTTGTGATCACCACCAGAGGTCTCACCTGACTGCTTACGTGAAAATTCCACTGGAGACCCGAAGGACAGGATGGACCTGTGGGCTCTGGTCTGAGGGTCAGCTAGCGCTGGGTAAAACTCACTACAGGCCTGCTTACCCCTGCACGTTAGCAGGGACCTTTCGGCCTGTTGCTCTGCCCCTACTCTCCCTCCAGGCAGGTGTGTAGAGGCTCTCTTGAGGACAGAGTTCAGGTGCAAGTTTTCTATTACTCAGACCCTTCTAGAACAAACGCGGTACATTCCTCACGTGCCACAAGATGTACGAACAAGCGTTTGTGAGCTCAGGCTCAGGCACAAGCTTTTATCCACAGTCCCACCTCAGAGTTCCCTGTAAGGATCAAGACCTCAGAGATGAATTCACAAACTAGCTGTGAACCCAGGCATGGCCATGATACTGAGGCCACGGAATGAAGACCCAGTGGCGACCCACGCACATGCAGCCCTGACTTCCAGTACAATGGGATACCCCATGGCACCTCTTCTGGGATGTGCTCGGCACATCTGGACCTCGACCTCTGTCCTTCCAGGTTAAGATGCTGCAGCACACTGCCCTGTGGTCCCGAGGATGTAGGGACCCCCATCACAGCCCCCATCCCCCATCACAGTCTCCAGCCCCCATCACAGCCCCCAGGCAGGCTGAGGCAGCTAGCTGCAAGACTACTGCAGTTCTGACATCTGACTTCTTGAGCCTGAAAGATTGCCAAGAAGTGTTCTCCAGATGTGGGTAAGACAGTCTAGAAGGAGAGGCAGAATGGCTTGAAGGGAGCCTGGGCTTCTTGATGCCACATCCTGATCAGCAACACCTGGCTCCCAATTCTCCAAGGGAGAAGTATATCAGAGATACCATGACCCTCCCCCTTCCAAACCGCACAGGGACTGCATACACTTCATGAAGATCTGAGCCTCCAAAGCACTGGAAAGCTCCATGGCCAGGTTATCAGTCCACCCAAACTCAAATCTGTATGCAAGAGGAAGGACAGGTCAGTTCAGCACGGATCCTTCCTTCTGGTGATGGAAACACACGCCACATGAAGTGGCCCATACACTGAGCATTCTCCTTTTCTCTTTTTAACCTTGTAATGCTGAGGATGAAACCCACAGCCTGGCACACAGTAGGCGAAGGCTCTACCGCTGAGTCCCGAGTCTTGCCTGCGAGAGAAGTTGTAATGTAGACTGGCTGAGAGCTGAGCATGTATCTTAAGGCCATTTGGTCAAATCAAAGCAGACTTCAGTAGAATGAGCACACGCCATTAACCCGACCAAACACTTCCATCGGGGCATTGCACGGGCTCTGTGGTTAGCACTCAGAGACGCGGTGGAGCCTGTCAGTAGAGACAGTGCCAGCCTGTATCTTGCCCTGTCCGGAAGCGCACAGCCCTCCCCACCACACCTTTGCCTTTGGCCTTCTGGGTTGGGAGGAGGAGGAGGACAAAGAGGAGGTGGTGGTGGTGGTGGTGGTGGTGGTGGTGGTGGTGGTGGAGGAGGAGGAGGAGGAGGAGGAGGAGGAGGAGGAGGAGGAGGAGGAGGAGGAGGACTTATTACCTGTAAAACTGGAGCTGTCTTTTGGGACTCCCATACCGAGTACTTCAGATAGCAGTGGAAGAAAGTGGGGGAAAGAAGAGGAGAGAAGACAGTAGGCAGTTGGTATCTTCCACAGGCAGGTGCAAGCTCAGAACTCATCACTGATATCCCACCAGGCCCCACCCGCCACACATCCCCATCCCAGCTCCAGGCTAGCGGACCGGCTCCATCAGATTACAAGCCAGGTACCAAACACTTTGCAGCAGCGCCACCCAGTGGCCAGTGAGGTGGAGGCCTGGAGCCTGCTCTGGTCGCGACAGTTTGGAGGCGCCGCAGTAGACTCTGGGTGAGCGTCTGGGTTTTTAATAAGCTTCAGACCATGCTTTACAGTATGCTTTAGAATAGCTGCCAAAAACCACACCCTGACAGGACAGCCTGAGACGCTGGGGTCCTTCCCAGGACAGACACCTCTTCCCCTGATTTCCACAGACACTTGCAACAGTGCAGGCTCCAGCCATTGTCTAGAAAGGTCTAAATAGGGCGTTGGGGTCCTGTGCAGACGTGGTCTTTTAGGATGGCAATGCGGGCTTTGGGGTTCTATGCCAGGTCTGCGGCCAGCGGCTCTCATCAGCGCCCTCTACAGGAAGCCTGCTGTTCAGACCGGCTGGCTCACACAAGGAGGTCAAGATTGCCCTGTCTGGCTGTTGCTGGCCTCTGGGCAGGTACCGACACACCAATGCCCACAAGCTCCTTGAGAGAAGCCCCCCAATGCCTCTGGTGGATTATCAGAGAGCACCAAGGAACGATGTGTATAGGAGGAGAAGTGGAAGTGGGGAAGGGCACTCTTGGAGTTGCTCAGATAGCCACGGGTGAGATTTCCAGAGTCAGGGACCAGAAACAAATCTGTCTTGGCCTAGTGACATCCAGGAAGTCCTTATTTCTTTCCAAGCACAGCTCTGAAAGCTTCCATGCTCTCTGCAGGGCCTGCGTGCCTCAAGCCCTCCGAGCCTTGCTTGAGTCCTAGTCTTTCCCCGAGGGAGGAGGCATGGGTGTGTTACCTGTAGACCATCCCGGGGGAGCCTGTCTGCCGCAGGGAGAGCCGAGCTGGGGAACCCGTGGTTGATTCCGGATACATGGGGCCGGCCTCGTTTACCCAGGTCAGCTTGCCTTTTCAGAGGGGAGATTCTGAAAGAAAATGCACAGGCAAAAGGGTCGTGGTTAAAAAGAGACTGGGCAGGTTTGGTTGGGGCTGTATGAGCCCATCCCCCCTCAGACAGATGGACCGTCCCATGGACTCAGATGGCCTGCTGTGGAGGGTGCTGTCCTTCCAGTGCACACCCGTCCCACTGCTCGCACGAGGCGGAAGGCTCTGTGGACTTCTCTGTCCCCTTCTTCCCCTCCCAGGAACTTCTCTTGCTCCTGACCCAGCCCCAGCTTCCTGTGTTGCCCTGGTGTTTAGGGAGCTTGTCTGACACCCTCAAACAACCTGGCTCCTGGGATTCCCTCCTTGTGCCAAGTCCTCCCCTTGAGCACAGCTGGACCCAGTGACTTGATTCTGACCAGGAGAATGTGGCAAGGGAGATGGGTTGTCACTGGATTGTCGCTGGATGACATAGGTAATTTCTGTCCTGCCAGCTGACTCTCTTTGCCAGCTCTGAGGACATGAGCTGCTGTGTAGTAGAGGCCCCTGTGGCAGGAGCTCAAAGGCCAACCAGGAAGTGACTTCTCAAATGGCCCTAGGGGCTTTGGAGCTGATTCTTCAACAGTTGGCTCCTCCCGTAAGGCCCTCCTCCCCAGACCCTGCCAGCCCCTGGAGAGCAGCTCCAGAGGCCCTAAGATGCACTGGGCCCCAGCCTTCTGCAACCCAGACCCACAGACACCCTGATCTCCTAGCAGCACGCCATGTCAAGTGGCTCCCCTTCCCCGCTATTGCCTCCAGGCTGCGCTCTGCCTGCCGGCCTCAACCGCACCCCTGTTCACCTGGCCACCTCCTCCTCCGTTAACAGGCCCCACTCGTGCCCCTCCCAGCTTCCAGGACCTTACAGTGGCAACCCCTTCCACCTAGCTGTCACCTTCATGAGTGCCCTCCCAGAGCAGTTCCAACAACTTGTCTGCATGCAGGTATGGCTGTTCCAACATCTTTGTTGAAGCTTCACAAGGCCCTGTTAACCGCCATGCCCCTGGGCCCCCCAGAGCCCAGATGAGGGTCCCTGATTCAAATTCACAGGGCCCCACTTACACGGGCAATGGAATTTGGGATTGGCACAGATCCCCTGAGATTGGAGGGTGACATTTAGGTAAATAGTCGTTTTGTTTTTGTTTTTCCACTGTTTCCCTCGTTAGGATCATGACCTCCTTTGAACGCTGCCTAACCCTGGCAACACCGCCCAGTGGAGGTCCCAACGAGGCCTCCTCTGGGCCACAGGGAATGAACACCTGCATGGGCGCCTGCTGGAAATAGGACAGACACCATAAGCAGCATGGAGTGATGAGGCTGATGAGGAACCCTGGGGATTTTTAAGAAACCTCATTTGGAATGCAATGATGAAACAGAAAATTCCCTTTAGCCCTTAACATTGGTGCAGGCGGGGCACGGCTGATGCTAGCCCAGGTTCTTTGTGAGGAAGCTCCTGAGCTGTGAGGGTCCTGAAGTCTTCCTGCAGTCCCCCAGTGTCCACTTTCCCCACCAATCACCTTTCTCATGTGTGTGAGCACACACACGCTTGTGCGCACAGGCACAAATGTGTGCACACACGGGGGCCTGGAGTGCCTTCTCCAATCACTCTCTGCCATACTCTTTTGAGCCAGTGTCTCTCACTGCACCTGGAGCTCGCCAGCTGGGCCCCACTGGCTGGCCAGCAAGCCCCAGGGACTCTCTCTGCTTCTCCATCGCTCAAGTTATAGGTGTGCACCACTACTCCCAGCCTTTTTTTTTTTTTTTTTTTTTGCTTTTTTTAAAGAAAGGGCCTCACGATGTTATCCCAGCTGACGCTGGCCTCGAGCTCACCTGCCTCTGCCTCCCAACTGCTGGGATTAAAGGCGTGCACCACCACACTTGGTCAAATGCATGAGCCACATGTGGTCTTGAGTCCAGCCCTTGGTGTGCATTAGGGGGATCAAAGTTTTGTCCTGATGCTTGGGTGGCAAGCACTTTGTCAAATGAGCCCTCGTCTCCCCAGCCCTTATCTTTCTTTCACAGCGTGAGTCCTTCAGACCACAGGTGCTGTGAGGTGCAGGCCAGATTCCCATCCCCCGGATCCATGTAGGAATCTGCTCATGGGTCCTGGAACGTCGGGGTGGGGCTGCAAATTCTGCAGACACTGTGTTTCTGGGTCTCCAGATGGCAGAAACTTTTCCTGTGCGGTGCTTCTCCTTGGGCAGGAGCTGGTCACTTGGCACTGGGGATAGCGGGGCCTCAAGGGCAGGGACAGCCCTGGAACCGCCGCTGCTGCGCCCACACTCTCCTGCAGCTTCCATGCTACCCAGAGCAAAGGCCGAACACCAACTGAGACCTCTGGGCTGCCTCTCTGCCCTCACCCAGCAGGTGGCTCCCATTCTGCAGGGCAACATAGGCTCCCCTGCTACCCCAGGGTCCCTGAGCTCGGCAGAGCCACCCCTTCTCAGGACTCTTAATAGTCCTCTTCCCCCTCAACTTGGCCTTTGACTCCTCGTCCCCTGCTTTACCTCCATGCCAGGATCACCCTGGCTCTCCCTGCACAACATACCTTAAACTGCCCTATTCAACCCTCTCCCCATGTTCACCCCTCGCTTGGTCCCTTCCTGTGTGACTTTCCCCCTAGAACCTGTCACTGCTGACACACCTAAGGCTTACCCACTTTTCTCTTTCCACAAAAGCTCTGCTGGTCTGAAGGCCAGGGCAGGGGGTGTCCTGTGTTCCTGCAGTTCCTGCTTGGTAGGCACTCAACTGCTATGGAATGACAGACTGTGACTCAGCCTGTTGGAGAGGGTGGGAGCTGGGCTCCTGTTACTGAAACACAGCCAGCTGTGGGCCACAGGGTGACAGGATTGGGCCTGAGGACCAGGGTTAGCCTTCTCTGGTGTGCAATGTCTGCTTTGTCCACTGGGGGCGCTCACAGCACCTGCAGGTGTGGGGAGAACTGGAGTCCTGCAGAATCCTGCAGGGACTCCCAAGAAGTGCTGGTTTGGAAATCCAGCTCCCTCCAAGCCCTCGTTGGCCCCTCCCCCACCCAGACCCACAGCCACAGGCAAGCACTGGCCTCACTCTGAAGATCACAGCTTTTAAAAAAAACCCCGTGGGTCTGCAGCCCAGCTCCCACCTCTGCCACCTCTCTGGGCAGGAGGGGGCTTGACGGGATTTCCCCATCAGTGAATGCTCTGCTTTCAGACGCAAGGTTTGCAGGCAGGGCCCACTTCTTGGCTCTGCAGCTGCTGCTGTCCAATCAGGAGCAGCTGCACCTGCCGACGTCCAATCGGGATGGAACCGACACCCTGGTGTTGGGAACAGTAGGCTGGTGCAGTGTTCCAGCAGGTGCCATACCACGGAAGGGTGGGCAGGGCTGAGCACCCTACAGCCCTCTCCAGGCAGAGCTGGGCTGGGTGCCCCTCAGTCCATGGCTGTCCCCACCCCTGCAATGTGGAGAACAGCACAGCTGGACAGTCACCCAAGGCCCATGGCATGGTCCACAGTTTGGAAGCCAGTCCCGCCCCAGGGGGTTGGGAGAGATCCGGGCTGAAGCTCAGAGTCCCGTCCTCTCTGGGTTTATGCACTTCCACTCTCGGGTCCCATCTCTGTGTGGCCTTGAGTAACTTTCTCGTTTATGTTTAAGGAATCGACGCTGGGAGCTTTGCCGAAGCCGGATGTGAAGAGGTGTGCAAATGCTGTGCGGCCAGGAGGGCCAGGCTGCTGGCAGGCGACCTCGAACACTCAGGAGGCACCATTCAAGCCGTCCTCCCCCAAATTATTTTGATAACTTTCAAACTTCAGAAAGATTGAAAAATCCGAACAGTGACAAACAGCCACGTCAGCACGGGCTTCCAGTGCCTCCGTTGCCACGCACCCGCCCTCCGCTCTGCTCCCGTCCTCTCTCAGGACACACCTGCACATGAGGCGCACATGCACGCAGAACCTTCAAGGCCGTCTGAGGAAGCCGCAGACCCTTGTTTCACACCAGACCCAAGACGGATCTGCATGAATGCTGCAGCACCTGCTGTGAGCCTCTGTCCAAACTCCCATCGCTCCCTAGGTTCTTGTTTAGATTTAAAAAAAATCCGGGATCCAGTCGAGGCTCTCAGATGGCATCAACTATTTCTCTCTGGTTTCTTCCAACTTAGAAACCTCATCATAATTTCCATTTTCGTGGGTGTATGTGTGTGTGTGCCACTGGAATGGAATCTAGGGTCCTGAATGCTTTCTACCACTGAGCTACTTCCTTGGCCTGACCCTGGGAGGTTTTGCCTTTCCTTTGTTCCTTGTCTTGTTGACCGCCCCTTGGTTTGTGATTTGCCTGACACTGCCTAGCTACCTTCCCCTTTCTCACATGTCCTCTGCCCACTGCAGGCGAGGCTAGCAGCTCTAGGCAGCACTCACTGGGGCTACTTCCACCGCTCAGGAACTGGGGGATCGCCTGAGGCCCTGAGTCCTCCAAACATCTCAGGAGGGAGCTTTCTCAATCACTGTTTTCTAGACGGGCTGAGTACATCGCATTTGTGTTCTGAGTGCAGAAGAATATGAAAATTCATGACTAGTTCTCAAGGCCAGGAAGACCTCGGTGGCCTGATTGAAGGTCCCTGGTTCAGTATGCTGAGTCCTGGGGCAAGGGTGAGACTGGCTGGGGGTGGGGTGGGGGGGACTTGGGCTTGGAAGTTTTCTAGGCAAGCTGGACCTGAAGCATGACTTTAGGTAAAGACACACACACACACACACACACTGCTTAAAAAGCTCTGGGCCAGAGTAGACCAAGGGAAGGGGGACTTTGGTTCTGCCCCTCAGCTGTGTATGTGTAGAATGGGGGCCTAGTAATATGACCTCAAATTCTCTATGTAAGCTTATGATAAATGATCGTATTATTCTTGGGGTTAACATACCCCAGGCTGTGCAAAGAAAGAGTTGTCAAGGGATCCTGCTTTGACCCCTTAACCTCAGGGAGGGTAAAGACGGGATCTATGGCTGCTGAGAGCTTCCCAGGGCTACTTGTCTAGAAGGG